TTTTTTTTTTTTTTTTTTTTTTTTTTTTTTTTTTTTTTTTTTTTTTTTTTTTTTTTTTTTTTTTTTTTTTTTTTTTTTTTTTTTTTTTTTTTTTTTTTTTTTTTTTTTTTAATCTTTTTTTTTTTTTTTTTTTTTTTTTTTTTTTTTTTTTTTTTTTTTTTTTTTTTTTTTTTTTTTTTTTTTTTTTTTTTTTTTTTTTTTTTTTTTTTTTTTTTTTTTTTTTTTTTTTTTTTTTTTTTTTTTTTTTTTTTTTTTTTTTTTTTTTTTTTTTTTTTTTTTTTTTTTTTTTTTTTTTTTTTTTTTTTTTTTTTTTTTTTTTTTTTTTTTTTTTTTTTTTTTTTTTTTTTTTTTTTTTTTTTTTTTTTTTTTTTTTTTTTTTTTTTTTTTTTTTTTTTTTTTTTTTTTTTTTTTTTTTTTTTTTTTTTTTTTTTTTTTTTTTTTTTTTTTTTTTTTTTTTTTTTTTTTTTTTTTTTTTTTTTTTTTTTTTTTTTTTTTTTTTTTTTTTTTTTTTTTTTTTTTTTTTTTTTTTTTTTTTTTTTTTTTTTTTTTTTTTTTTTTTTTTTTTTTTTTTTTTTTTTTTTTTTTTTTTTTTTTTTTTTTTTTTTTTTTTTTTTTTTTTTTTTTTTTTTTTTTTTTTTTTTTTTTTTTTTTTTTTTTTTTTTTTTTTTTTTTTTTTTTTTTTTTTTTTTTTTTTTTTTTTTTTTTTTTTTTTTTTTTTTTTTTTTTTTTTTTTTTTTTTTTTTTTTTTTTTTTTTTTTTTTTTTTTTTTTTTTTTTTTTTTTTTTTTTTTTTTTTTTTTTTTTTTTTTTTTTTTTTTTTTTTTTTTTTTTTTTTTTTTTTTTTTTTTTTTTTTTTTTTTTTTTTTTTTTTTTTTTTTTTTTTTTTTTTTTTTTTTTTTTTTTTTTTTTTTTTTTTTTTTTTTTTTTTTTTTTTTTTTTTTTTTTTTTTTTTTTTTTTTTTTTTTTTTTTTTTTTTTTTTTTTTTTTTTTTTTTTTTTTTTTTTTTTTTTTTTTTTTTTTTTTTTTTTTTTTTTTTTTTTTTTTTTTTTTTTTTTTTTTTTTTTTTTTTTTTTTTTTTTTTTTTTTTTTTTTTTTTTTTTTTTTTTTTTTTTTTTTTTTTTTTTTTTTTTTTTTTTTTTTTTTTTTTTTTTTTTTTTTTTTTTTTTTTTTTTTTTTTTTTTTTTTTTTTTTTTTTTTTTTTTTTTTTTTTTTTTTTTTTTTTTTTTTTTTTTTTTTTTTTTTTTTTTTTTTTTTTTTTTTTTTTTTTTTTTTTTTTTTTTTTTTTTTTTTTTTTTTTTTTTTTTTTTTTTTTTTTTTTTTTTTTTTTTTTTTTTTTTTTTTTTTTTTTTTTTTTTTTTTTTTTTTTTTTTTTTTTTTTTTTTTTTTTTTTTTTTTTTTTTTTTTTTTTTTTTTTTTTTTTTTTTTTTTTTTTTTTTTTTTTTTTTTTTTTTTTTTTTTTTTTTTTTTTTTTTTTTTTTTTTTTTTTTTTTTTTTTTTTTTTTTTTTTTTTTTTTTTTTTTTTTTTTTTTTTTTTTTTTTTTTTTTTTTTTTTTTTTTTTTTTTTTTTTTTTTTTTTTTTTTTTTTTTTTTTTTTTTTTTTTTTTTTTTTTTTTTTTTTTTTTTTTTTTTTTTTTTTTTTTTTTTTTTTTTTTTTTTTTTTTTTTTTTTTTTTTTTTTTTTTTTTTTTTTTTTTTTTTTTTTTTTTTTTTTTTTTTTTTTTTTTTTTTTTTTTTTTTTTTTTTTTTTTTTTTTTTTTTTTTTTTTTTTTTTTTTTTTTTTTTTTTTTTTTTTTTTTTTTTTTTTTTTTTTTTTTTTTTTTTTTTTTTTTTTTTTTTTTTTTTTTTTTTTTTTTTTTTTTTTTTTTTTTTTTTTTTTTTTTTTTTTTTTTTTTTTTTTTTTTTTTTTTTTTTTTTTTTTTTTTTTTTTTTTTTTTTTTTTTTTTTTTTTTTTTTTTTTTTTTTTTTTTTTTTTTTTTTTTTTTTTTTTTTTTTTTTTTTTTTTTTTTTTTTTTTTTTTTTTTTTTTTTTTTTTTTTTTTTTTTTTTTTTTTTTTTTTTTTTTTTTTTTTTTTTTTTTTTTTTTTTTTTTTTTTTTTTTTTTTTTTTTTTTTTTTTTTTTTTTTTTTTTTTTTTTTTTTTTTTTTTTTTTTTTTTTTTTTTTTTTTTTTTTTTTTTTTTTTTTTTTTTTTTTTTTTTTTTTTTTTTTTTTTTTTTTTTTTTTTTTTTTTTTTTTTTTTTTTTTTTTTTTTTTTTTTTTTTTTTTTTTTTTTTTTTTTTTTTTTTTTTTTTTTTTTTTTTTTTTTTTTTTTTTTTTTTTTTTTTTTTTTTTTTTTTTTTTTTTTTTTTTTTTTTTTTTTTTTTTTTTTTTTTTTTTTTTTTTTTTTTTTTTTTTTTTTTTTTTTTTTTTTTTTTTTTTTTTTTTTTTTTTTTTTTTTTTTTTTTTTTTTTTTTTTTTTTTTTTTTTTTTTTTTTTTTTTTTTTTTTTTTTTTTTTTTTTTTTTTTTTTTTTTTTTTTTTTTTTTTTTTTTTTTTTTTTTTTTTTTTTTTTTTTTTTTTTTTTTTTTTTTTTTTTTTTTTTTTTTTTTTTTTTTTTTTTTTTTTTTTTTTTTTTTTTTTTTTTTTTTTTTTTTTTTTTTTTTTTTTTTTTTTTTTTTTTTTTTTTTTTTTTTTTTTTTTTTTTTTTTTTTTTTTTTTTTTTTTTTTTTTTTTTTTTTTTTTTTTTTTTTTTTTTTTTTTTTTTTTTTTTTTTTTTTTTTTTTTTTTTTTTTTTTTTTTTTTTTTTTTTTTTTTTTTTTTTTTTTTTTTTTTTTTTTTTTTTTTTTTTTTTTTTTTTTTTTTTTTTTTTTTTTTTTTTTTTTTTTTTTTTTTTTTTTTTTTTTTTTTTTTTTTTTTTTTTTTTTTTTTTTTTTTTTTTTTTTTTTTTTTTTTTTTTTTTTTTTTTTTTTTTTTTTTTTTTTTTTTTTTTTTTTTTTTTTTTTTTTTTTTTTTTTTTTTTTTTTTTTTTTTTTTTTTTTTTTTTTTTTTTTTTTTTTTTTTTTTTTTTTTTTTTTTTTTTTTTTTTTTTTTTTTTTTTTTTTTTTTTTTTTTTTTTTTTTTTTTTTTTTTTTTTTTTTTTTTTTTTTTTTTTTTTTTTTTTTTTTTTTTTTTTTTTTTTTTTTTTTTTTTTTTTTTTTTTTTTTTTTTTTTTTTTTTTTTTTTTTTTTTTTTTTTTTTTTTTTTTTTTTTTTTTTTTTTTTTTTTTTTTTTTTTTTTTTTTTTTTTTTTTTTTTTTTTTTTTTTTTTTTTTTTTTTTTTTTTTTTTTTTTTTTTTTTTTTTTTTTTTTTTTTTTTTTTTTTTTTTTTTTTTTTTTTTTTTTTTTTTTTTTTTTTTTTTTTTTTTTTTTTTTTTTTTTTTTTTTTTTTTTTTTTTTTTTTTTTTTTTTTTTTTTTTTTTTTTTTTTTTTTTTTTTTTTTTTTTTTTTTTTTTTTTTTTTTTTTTTTTTTTTTTTTTTTTTTTTTTTTTTTTTTTTTTTTTTTTTTTTTTTTTTTTTGATTTTTTTTTTTTTTTTTTTTTTTTTTTTTTTTTTTTTTTTTTTTTTTTTTTTTTTTTTTTTTTTTTTTTTTTTTTTTTTTTTTTTTTTTTTTTTTTTTTTTTTTTTTTTTTTTTTTTTTTTTTTTTTTTTTTTTTTTTTTTTTTTTTTTTTTTTTTTTTTTTTTTTTTTTTTTTTTTTTTTTTTTTTTTTTTTTTTTTTTTTTTTTTTTTATTTTTTTTTTTTTTTTTTTTTTTTTTTTTTTTTTTTTTTTTTTTTTTTTTTTTTTTTTTTTTTTTTTTTTTTTTTTTTTTTTTTCACCATAAACAGGCACACCAGGAATATTTAAGACCTTTCCCAATCTACTTGCAACTAACCGACTCTGAAACTTCCCCCGACTCTCCACATATTTAGCCAAAAACAGGTTAACCCAACTGGAACGTACTAGGAGCGCAAAGAGAGCACACGGTGACAGATTGCACGGAACCCGACGTGCGGGCGTTTATTGGGGAGCTTTTTGGGATACAGACAATAGAACCGTTAGTCTACAGATCCACACCAGACACAGCAACACAGTAAAGTTCTCATGATGGCAATATGGGACAACAGGGGGGCCAACAGTCCATAGGGTTCAACAGGACAGAGTGGTGGAAATTCTGCAGGAATCGGGGTTCATGGGAGGAATTGAGCTGAGTCTTTTGGGCAGCATGCGGTTAGTCCACTTACTGGATGTGGAGAGCAGGACATGGAGGGTTCATCCACACAGGCAACACAGGGTCAATCCACACAGGCAGATCCAGGCAGTGAAGGGTTACATATAAACTGAATGTGCATGCGCACATATAAACTGGCTCCCGTGTATTCCAATTAGCATGCACACTTGGTGCCCAATGGCCTATTTAAACTGGTCTGCCATCATGAGCAGCTGCTGAATGGTCTTCACCTTGTTCCTGTGACCTGATCTGCTGTACCTGTCTATCTGTGTATGACCCGGCTTGCCTTTGGACTTCACTTTGGATCCTGCTTAACCACTTGCCTACCAGGCACTTCTACCCCCTTCCTTACCAGGCCAATTTTCAGCTTTCAGCGCTACCGCACTTTGATTGACAATTGCGCGGTCATGCAACATTGTACCCATATGAAAATTTTGATCATTTTTTTCTCACAAATAGAGCTTTCTTTTGGTGGTATTTAATCGCCACTGGGCGCTTTAAATAAAAAAAGTGCAAAAAATTTGAAAAAAAAAAAAAAAAAGTTTCTTTGTTTCTATTATAAAATTTTTCAAACAGGTAATTTTTCTCCTTCACTGATGTTCGTTGATGAGGCAGCACTGATGGGCACTGATAGGCGGCACTGATGGGCACTGATAGGCAGTACTAATGAGGTGGCACGGATAGGCGGCACTGATAGACAGCACTAATGAGGTGTCACGGATAGGCGGCACTAATATGCAGCACTGATAGGCGGCACTGATAGGTGACACTGATGATGCGTACTGATAGACGGCACTGACTGGCATCACTGCTGGGCACTGACTGGCGGCACTGACTGGCACAACCCCTGGGCACTGACTGGTGGCACTGACTGGCAGCACTGATGGGCTGCACTGGTGGGTGGCACTGGTGGGCAGCACTGGTGGGTGGGCACAGGTGGGTGGCACTGGTGGGCACAGGTGGGTGGCACTGGTGGGCACAGGTGGGTGGCACTGCTGGGCACAGGTAGGTGCACTTCTGGGCACAGGTGTGTGACACTGCAGAGTGGGCACAGGTGGGTGGCAGAGTGGGCACAGGTGGTGGCACTGCTGGGCACAGGTGGTGGCACTGTGAGGGCACAGGTGGGTGCACTGCTGGGGCACAGGTGGGTGATCTGCTGGGGCACAGGTGGGCGGAGCTAGTGGGCGCACATCTGGGCACAGGTGGGCGGAACTTGCGGGGGCCACTGCTGGGCACCGATCATCAATGCACTGATCATCAGTGCCCTGATGATCGGTGCCGATCCCCGCTCTGACAACTGCCGGTTCTCGGCAGTACTTTCCTCACGATCTGACAGTGCGAGGAAAGTGCAGCCGAGAACCGGCACTTGCATTTCCCTCTGATCAGCGTGTCATTGGACACGGCTGATCAGGTGGTAAAAGGCCGCTGTGATTGGCCTTTTACCACATCACGTGATCAGTTGTGTCCGTAGGACACAGCGATCACGGAGATCGCCGGGTGCGCGCCCCCTGGGGCGCGCAGGAGAGCGCGTTCTGAGAGGACGTCATATGACGTCCACTCAGAACTGGCCGGTCGCAGTGAAGCCGTCATTCATCTATCTGCGGTCGGCAACAAGTTAAACTCTGCTCACCTGAGTACTCTGACCTCGGCCTGTTTACTGGACTTGCCTTTGCCTACTGTTTTGGTACTGCATTCCCCGGCTATTACTGACCTTGGCCTGCCTCTTGGACTTGCTCTGCCTGACAATTCGGTTCCTCGCTGCCCCTTCACTGCTGACCGCTGTATGCTGCCTGCCTCCTGGTCCTGCTTCATCTTCTGCTCTGGTGCCAAGCTGCTCCCTGCACTCCATTCTGAGGACTGCAAACTACCAGCTCTACCCACCTACAGAGTGGACACCACCAGCCAGCTACTCCGGCACTCGTGCCACTCTTAGCCCTCACACTCTCTGCCTCCACCTTCAGGAATGTTGGGCAGGCGGTGCAAGAGAGGCCTCCATAACATTCCAGTCTTCACCAGGTACGGGATAGGTAGGCTGCAATATGATACATTTTTGTTTTTCATACATTAGTCAATTTATTCCCTGATGTTGTGAAAAAAACTTTTGCTAATAAGTTAATAGCGTGGTTTTAAACACATCTTTGCAAGAAATAGAAAAAAAAGAATCTTCACAGCCACAAGAGGTTAGTTCTCTAATTCACTCCTTCACTCAAGTTCCCCGTCTCAGACACATGGTGCTATTAATATATATATATATACAGTTGCAAGAAAAAAGTATGTGAACCCCTTGGGATTACGTGGTGTTTTGCATGAATTGGGCATAAAATGTGCTCTGAACGTCATCTAAGTCACAACAATAGAAGAACACAGTCTGCTGAACATAATACTACACAAACATTAGATGTTGCCATGGTTTAATTGCACATAACATGTAAACATTCACAGTGCAGGGAGGAAAAAGTATGTGAGGCCCTAGCTTAATGACTTCTCCCCAGAGCTAATTGGAGCCAGGAGTGAGCCAACCTTGACTCCAATCAGTGTGATGATATTGGATGTGTTGCTGACACCTGTTTTGGGTTTACTGGTTTCAAGAAGCACTGTCTGATGTGAACCATGCCTCGCAGAAAAGAGCTCTCAGAAGACCTACCATCAAGAATTGTTGACTTGCATGAAGCTGGAAAGGGTTACAAAAGTATCTCCAAAAGCCTTGATGTTCATGTGTCCACGGTAAGACAGACTGTCTACAAATGGAGAAAGTTTAGCACTGTTGCTACTCTCCCTAGGCGTGGTCGTCCTGTAAAAAATGACTGCAAGAGCACAGCGCAGAATGCTGCATGAGGTAAAGAAGAATCCCAGAGTGTCAGCTAAAGACCTACAGAAAATCTCTGGCACATGCTAACATTTTTGTTGACACATCTACAATAAGGAAAACATTAAACAAGAATGGAGTACATGGGAGGACACCACGGAGGAAGCCATTGCTGTCCAAAAAGAAGATTGCAGCACGTTTGAAGTTTGCAAAAGAGCACCTGGATGTTCCACAGCACTACTGGCAGAAATATACTGTGGACAGATGAAACCAAGATTGAGTTGTTTGGGAAGAACACACAACACTATGTGTGGAGAAAAAAAAGGCACAGCACACCAACCATCAAAACCTCATCCCCACTGTGAAACATGGCGGAGGGAGCATCATGGTTTGGGGCTGCTTTGCTGCCTCAGGGCCTGGACGGATTGTTGTCATTGATGGGAAAATGAATTCCAGAGTTTATCAAGACATTTTGCAGGAAAACGTACGACCATCTGTCCGCCAACTGAAGCTCCGCAGAGGATGGGTGATGCAACAGGACAATGACCCAAAGCATACAAGTAATTCAACAAAACAATGGCTGCAACAGCACAGAATACACCTTCTGGAGTGGCCCCGTCAGAGTCCTGACCTCAACCCGATTGAAATGCTGTGGCATGACCTTAAGAGAGCGATTCACACCAGACATCCCAAGAATATTGCTACACTGAAAAAAACAGTTTTGTGTAGAGGAGTGGTCCAAAATGACTCCAGATCGTTGTGCAGGTCTGATCTGCAACTACAGGAAACGTTTGGTTGAGGTTATTGCTGCCAAAGGAGGGTCAACAGTTATTAAGTCCAAAGGTTCACATACTTTTTTCCTCTCTGCACTGTGAATGTTTACATGCGCACTGTGGTCCGCGGGTGCGCGCCTGGCACCAATGACAGCACAGGGCGCGGTATTTAAATCCCCCCTGTGCTGTCACTGGTTGCCGTATGGTTGTTCTTAGTATCCTGTTCCTGAACTGTGTATTTGCGATAGTTACTGACCCGGATTGCTCTGACCTTGCTGATTTCTCCTGTCCCGACCCCTGGCTTGCCTGACCTCGCTCCTGGATGCCCCCCCTTGTGAATCTGATCTCTTGTTGCTGACCTGGCGTGTTACCCCGACCATTCTCTGCCCGCTGCTCTGTACCGCACCGACCCCCCCCTAGGCTACCGACTCGGCTTGTCTGACCTCGCACCTGCTCATCCATCCGTCCCACCCCGTCGGGATATCCCTGCCTCCTCACATCAGACTCTCACCCGAGGGACCTCTGGCGAGCTCCTCTACCACTGGTGGGTATACCCAGGGGCCACGACCTGGTCTCGGTTGGGCGCTCCAAGTCCATCCCCACCATCAGGGGCCCTGGTGAACAATGTGAACCGGGACTTAGGACTCCGCGCTCTGGGGAAGCCTGACCAGTGGGATTGCTAGGGGGCGCCATAAGTTGGTTCCTTACAGTACCATACGGCCATGACAGAGTCTGGAGGAGGACCCTCCCCATTGGAGGACATATGCCGGCACCTGGCAGCCCTGACCCAAGCTGTCTCAGTCTTTTGCAAGATAAATACACTCATCTGGAAAACCGCTTCCAGACATTGACCGTATCTGACACCACCTCCCAGGCCCCGGTCTCTCCTGCCTGGTCTGGGGAATCTCCTGGGCCA